TATAAAGCTATCATTGATTTTTCATCTTCAAAAAAATAGGCAAATAAAATGCATGAATCAAGTTTTAGAACAATATTTGAAGTATACCATCAGCTATCATTAAGATGATTGGATAATTGTTTTACCAATTATAAGGATTTCATAAAATAATTTTATACATTCTTCTTCTCATTAAATATCTTTGCTAATTATTGTTATTATTTATAACTTTATATTTATGATTTTTTAAAAATTGATGATTCTATAGTACAAGATTTAGCAAATTATTATCAGAGTTACATGCAACAATAAAGGCACAGTTAAAGAAAGCTCAAAAATGACAAAAGATCAATACGAATGCCTATTGCAAAGAACAACTATAATTCATTATAATTGACAAGATATGGCTATTTTGTCACAATATCACTACTTGTCTTTGTGACAAGTTGGACTATTGTAAGCTTGAACCTTTTTTATTTGTAAACAAATCAATTCTATTGCTTATTGATTACATCTATTGGAGTCTATAAAGATCCATCTTATATTCCATATATTTCTTCTTGAGCCATATAAAATAGTGAATAACTCAAGAAGAAGACAAATGCCACTTCTTCTTATAAAAGTCAATAATAATCAAAAGTTTGAGGTAGAAGAAGTTTTAGATTTTAGGCAGTGCCGAAATAGATTAGAATATGTAATTCATTGGCACAGATATGATATTAATGAACACTCATGGGAGCAAGTAAAGAATCTTACAAATATAAGAAATAAGGTTGGAGCTTTTCATTGACAACATCCATCAAATTCAAGATGAAGAATAATAAATCTTTGCTATGAAAGAAACAAGATCTATAGAAGTTAACATTCTATCTTCTATTTTTACTTGTAATTTTTATATATTTGTGACTTTAAAGAGATGAAAAACTAACAACTAATAGATTTAATTCAAGAGCTATCTTTTGTTGACTTATTGGATGAGACATTGCAATTATCACAACCATTAAGATGACATAATCAAGAAAAAAATCATTAAGAATAATATGTCCATCTTCAAATATATGGTGAGATACAACTTCTTTGGTATCACAATCTTAGAAGAGATTCTTGATGTTTGGTGATTTTATTAGAAGTAGGAACAACTCATGAAGACATTCTAATTGTTTTATTTAAACAAAAAGTTATAAAGGCCTCAATAATGATCAAATAATAAAGTGGTCTTTTTATCCTAATATGGATCACTATTGATGGTTGAGAGGACCTTACAACCATCTTCAAAGAGAATAAAGATCAGAGTATGTGGCAAGCATAATTTGCTACATTTTGAATTTCTTTAACATATGATGACCTCTCTTCATGGAATTCATATTTAAATTAGAATGTAATGCGACAAATATACTTATTTACTCTAATATTTATCTTTATGATTATGTAGAAGTAAATAAAAGTAGATTTATTTCATATTATTTTTTAGAAAAGCTTTTTAGAAGCTTTATAGATATTGTTTTGACTTTACATGTGTTTGTAGTTGATTGATAGGTTAGAAACTTGGTCAATAAGTTAACCACATGTTGGTTGCTTGCTAAACAAGCTAACTATGTGGTACACATATAAAAAACTTGCCTTGAAAGTTAAGATAAGTGTCTTGCAAAATCAATATGTTTTAGAGGTCTTATAAACATTGCCATGTAGCTCCTAGTTGAGAATATACATGGAGGCAAAAGTGAAGTTTTTTTCACTCTTGATAATGCCTTTTTAATCTTTAGTATTATTTCAAGACTTTCTAGTCTTCTTGTTTTTGCCAATAGTGATTCTAATTTAATATTATATCATCTTTGAGTGATTATCTAATATTTTTGAGTGACAAAAGAGTGTATTGATATTTTAGTTCTTTAATGTTCATATCCTTGATATCTTATTATTCAAATAATATATATATATATATATATATATATATTAGTTTGTTATTATCTTCTTTGTAAAACATTGTAGATGTTTTTTAAACATAAGTTAAAGCTACAAATGTCTTTTTTTAAGAAATTTATAAATGTATAAAATCATTATTGGAGTAATTTAAAATTTAGACATTTTTTTCAAAATATTTATTGTTTTTAAGAAGTTACTACATAGCCTTTTTGTTATATAATGTATGTAAATATAAAATTAAGATCATTTTTAGTCTGGACAATACCTTTCTTGCACTCTAATCTTTATTCATTTATATGATTTTAAAAAAAATTATATTATTACCATAAATAAAATATAATTTAATTTATTATAATATTTTTTCTTAAATATTCAAAATTTGAATTGAATAATTGATGAAAATAATACTTGGACATAGTTTGTGATATTTATGATAATATTTTACTTTCAAATATTCAAAGGTAAGTTTTATGTAATTAAATATATATTATAAATTTTTTATATACATAAAAATGTTTTTTGTATGCACAAGAAAATAGTTTTGTTACATGCATATAAGTTTGTATATATATATATATATATATTCATTTAATATTAACACTTTTATATAATAGATAAATTATGTTTTTGAATTTTTTGAATTTTTTTATTTATTTAGTTTTTTATTACTTAAAATAATCTATAATCTATTGAAGACATTACCATAATAATTGTTGTTTTTTCTGCAATGTGTTCAGTGTAATAATCATGATTTGAGATTAATTACCATTGCAATGCATCTCATTTGAAGTTATTTTATATAAAATAGAATTATTTACTGTGACTTAAATTGGTTAGAGTTTTTTAAAAGTTGTAAAGAAATAATAAATATTAAAAATAAAATTTTCGTGTATCTAAATCATTTATCAAAACATGGGTTCCAAAATTAATACATAACTGATTCTTATGTTTATGTCGAGTCTATAGGATGAATATTACAAAGCAGTTGAAAAGTTTGTTGCTTAAAAGAAGAAACATCAAGCCTCTGTGGTGCACTATAATAAAACAAACCAGACATATTATTATTATTATTAAATTTATTAATGTCACGTGTTGACATCTTTCCCCTCTCTTTTCTTTCATTTTTATCATTTGCTTCATAACAAGGAAGAATAAATTAATCTTTAAGTCTAACCTCCTATATATGAAAACAAGCTCATTATACCACGTTCCTCACTATAACTCCTCCCAATTTGAAACTTGCTTTTGGCTCTACATTCCAATACCATAACAGTAGCCAATACCCAAAATGTTAAACTATTACTTGTTAAGGAAACCACTTTGATAATTTATTATCCTTCCAAAAGTTATACGATTAGTAGTTAAATTGGATAAGTGATTTTATATTGCTATTGTTTGAATCAATAAATTTGCAAGAAAAAACTTCATAGGGTGAATGGGTGATGAATATATATATATATATATATATATATTTATATTTATATATGTATATATATTAAAGAAAGGGAGAGATGTAGGGAAAAGGAGAAAAAACATTAAATAGAAGATAAAAGAATAACCGAATTGAGAGTAGAATTGTGAAAATATTGTTTTATATAAGCTTGAAAAAAATTGTACTCACTGAACACAACAGCCGCATTTCTACCTCAAGTAAGAATGAAAAGAAGGTATGACCTACAGTACAACCTGTTTATTATAATATCAAAACTTTCCGTTTATACATCATACAAAGCTTGTGGTGTTTGTCTTTTCTTTGTTAAATTCAGATACATTTGTTATAACATAAGTAATGAAAATTTTCAACTGACTACATTAAATCTGTAATATTTCAAAGTGTAAAAAATGTGTCATCAAAAAAAAATCCTGAATTGAGACATTAGATTAAATTAATAATCAAAATTCAATTGTAACTTACAAGCTTGAAGGGTGATTGGGTTCTTTACTATATTTTAAAATTTTCCATAAGTGTCGTCTATTGATCATTTTAAACTGTTGACATGAGATCTCTATACAAGTTTTTGCAATATATATGCTGTTGTGCTTCATTGACATTAACTCCTCGGATCATTTTTAAGCAGCATAGGTATTCAACTTTTTAAGTTTAAACTTGTTTCACACAATCTCAAACAATTCAAACACACAAAGTGGAAAAAAAAAACAAAAAAGAAAAGAAAAGAACAAGAGGCTGGCTTCTTAAAACGCATTACTATTATTTCTTTTCCACCCAACACCCCAAAACCCACTAAAATTTCAAAATCCCACAACTCCACATTCCAAACCATTCAAACCCCAACACACCAAGTAAGCAAAATCAAATGACCCAAAACTTAAAATTCATCGGGAGCAATGGAAACGCCGCCAAGCACCCCCGTCCCGTCACCGACACACCCACAAAACTCACCGACGAGCTCCCGGATCTCGTATGGGACACACGGAAAACCAAATTTCGGCAAAGAAAAAAAGAAAAAAAAAGAAAAGAAAGGAAAGAAAAGAAAAAATAAAACGATGGCAACAACCAGCCAACGGAATAAATACGGAAGAAAATCACGCAACACCCAAGCGCAGAGACAGAGTCATGGAGGGAGGGAGGGAGGGAGGAATGGAGGGGGAATCGCACGTCGAAGAAAGAGTGCGGCGCTCGCCCACCATGTGGATGATGCTGATGAGATGCCATGTGGGGACGCATCCATCATGCTCTCTGCACGCGGAGCAAGCAGCAATCGTCCGATGATGGCGATGAGGGGCGATAGGAACGAGCGGGGGTGGTGGTGGGATCGTGGGAAGGAAGGCAGGAAAGGGTATATTTGGGGCCGTGCAGTAGCAACAATAGCAGCAGGAGGATCTGACGCAACGCAGTAGAGCGGGTGGGGGGGTGGATTCGGTTTTGAGGGGATTGATTTCTGGGAGTTCGAGCGGGGGCAGGCAGTGGCGCCACACAAGGGCATGAAGGAGGAGGAGGGGGAATCTGGCAATGCAACGCGGCGGAGTCGGAAAAAGCGCTCCCGGGGAATGAAAAAAAGACGGCACGGGGCTATACCCTCATGAGGTGGAGGAGCAGGAGGACAGGGCGGGGGTGGGGGACCGTGCACAGTGATGATGCTGATGATGATGGTGGTGCTGTTGTTGGTGCGAAGCACTGCTGATTTGTAAGGCACGCTTCAGCGCTGCTGGCCCTGGTACTGGCCCCTTCGAGGCCATGGGACAGGGGCCATCGCAAGGAATCGCAACTGCGAGACTCAGTACTTTGGGTCCGAATTTTTATTCCGCTGCTTGGTGTTGTGGGTGGTTGGGTCTTTCGGGGTAATGCGGCGACTGTTCCCCGTGGTTTTGTTTGTTTGTTTGTTTGGTTTGTTGGTTCATTTGGCTTGTTTTTCCTTCTCATGTCAGGGAAGATGGTTAGTAGAATAGTGCGTTGAGGGTGTTGTTGTGCTGGGTGTGATTGCGAGAGAGGAGGAGGAGGAGGAGGAGGTGACGGAATTAGTTTTTCTGTTGTTGTTACGATCGATTTCTTTTATTTATTTATTTATTTTCCATTTTTTCAAATGGGGATGGTGGGTTTGGGTTATCAGTATGGTACGATGTTTTTAGGTCTGGGTAATCATAGGGATTTTTGTAGCATGTGCAGTGGAGTGAAACGAGATTGCTGTTTGGTTAGGTGGCTGCTCGAGGGGAAAAGTGTACGCATCACGTACGAGCGTTGCAATCATGCGGCAAGATTCTGTCCAGTTCCGATTGCGAAGGCATTATTTCGTCCGCAAACGAGGATCCTGGGCTTCTTTGCACAGTGCTTCAGATTTCGGATGGCTGGTGGATGCCTCGCGATGCAGGCTGAATGATAGAGAGTGCTGAGTGATTGCTGAAATTAAGTGCTGGGAATTCTAGTAAGTATTTGTCAAAATCATGATGCTCGAGTGTTATTAGCTACGCCCTTTCTGCTCTTGGGCATGGAGCCCTTGAGACGTGCCCTTCAGCCTTCGATACATGTTGGGTGTTCTTTTCTACCTTGCAGCCATATCTGGAGTTTTTGGTTTAAACCTGAAACTTTCTTCCTTTTGATTCCTTAGGAGGTTGCGAGAAGAAGTATTTTCTTTTATTTGTGGAGGGGTATGAGATCTTCAAAGAAGACTCAGGGAGTGTAAAGTCTTTCGTGGTATCTTTTTTCAAAATACATTGTTTCGATGTTTCGTACTGTAGTCATCAATAACATGCTGAATCCATATCAGTGATAGGCCAGCCCTGCTCTGGAAAGTTTTTAGAAGGGTATTTTAATTTCTGATCGAGTGTGCCGGAGAATGTACGCTTCACAATGCTCATTTATCGTTAGAGTTACTTAGAAGACCTAATTGTGAGAAGGTTTTGAGAGTGCATTGGCGCTATGGCAGCAGCGGGCATTACATCGCCAGCCCGTATCAAGCTGAAGGATTTGGTCGCAGTTGATGGGCTCCCATCGGAGAGTTACAAGATCGCTGTGGCAAGTTTGTCCCAGTCTCTTAGGAACTACAATGTGGCTATAATCCAAGTCCCTCAGTCTGACGACGTGCTTCTACGATGTGTACTGGACTCAGTTCGGATGTTCTTCCACTTGAAGCCAATGGTTAGTGCAGATACCGTTCACGCTGAAGACCCTCACAACTGGAATTGCACAGTTGGCTATCATGCAGAACCGCAGCATTCTCGGGAGGTGTTTGATTTTCGACCTGGAAGGATGAATGTGGAGGGGGCTGGAGTGACTGAGCTGCCACCTACGGGCTTGCCTAACTTGTTTGCTTTGTTGGGCAATGCGACCCGTGTGTGCTTGGATGCTATCGCTTGCTCGCTGGAGCTGCGGAGCTTTTCGTTTACGGATCTATTAGATAATGTGCCACTGAAGTCAGGCGAAATGTCAACCTCAGTATTATCAAGCTGCTGTCACAATAGGTGCGTGTATTTCTTGATTTGAGCCCTGGATTTTTGATTTGTTATGACACTGGAGTCCATTGTCACATTGTTATCAGTTGGAATCCTCGTCGTCACATGTCCAACAAATGTGAGTAATGTATATTACTCGACAAAATAGATGGTTCGTGTGTGCTCGCATGATAGGCGGTCATTTATGACTGGTTCGGTGTATGGATTTGAATCTAGGAACTATTCTCTGATTTAGGATTTTTACTTCGTTAGCTCGTGCTGGGACGTAGCTTCATGCGTCTCGGCTAATGATGCGTTCTTGATGTCCGGAAAAACGGAGAGCTGTTGAATTGTGATAGTTCTGTGCTAAGGCTGTTGCCTGATCTGTGGAGTTAAGCTGAAACGGTTCAACGTATGCAGGCCTGGAGCTCACCACTCAGCTAATTTACTGCCCAGCGAGCAAGGGGCGCTTTCAATGTACGAAGAGGATGCAGATAGAGGTCTGTTGACATTAATGAAATCCGATAGGCCAGGGCTTCAGATAAGAGACCTACAGGGTCGGTGGTTTGTTGTGGATGCAGACCTGGGTCCCCAAGACATGGTTTTGTATATTGGAACGTCACTGTATCAAGCTACCGCAGGGCACCTGGGCCCGTCAATGTATCGAACAGACAACAGTGTAGATTTGAGTCAGGCACAATGTTCTGCACACGTTGGCCGTTGCACAGTTAGTTTCAAGCTGATGCCTCGTGCGACTGCCATCCTACATTGCTCAGCGATGACTGCTGCAGGGCATCCTGTAGGAAGTCCTTTCCAGCATCCTGTGGCTGTCCATGACTTTATGCAGCGAGCTAATCTCATGGATCAGCTTTTGGCTCGACCTGGCGTTCCAACGTTTTCTTTTCCAGCTCCTGTCGAAGGTAACTGTCTGTATTGATTTGACTTCTTTGTTATAAGTTTTTTGGTTCGTTGTTTCTGACAGGTTTTGTGTCTTTCACTGAACTTAAACATATGGGAAATCGACTGGATATGTGTGTAGCTTAGGTCTTTGTAACTATATTAGTTAGTTGCATGTTGCAAAACAAACAAAGTGGTAATAGTTCCCTGGGATTTTTGTGGGTTGCTTTATTGTGTTGGCGTTTCTCATTTATTTACTGCATGGAGTCTTACCTACTGAGTGACTGAGGACTGAGTAACTGAAGTTTGTGCACAGTTTTTGTTCCTGCTACAGCTCAACTGAAAGCAGCAATGAAGCGGAAGAAACAGGTGTCTCGAGGGAAGCCACTTGCTCCATCAAAGCGTTTGCGGCTGGAAGCCCAGCGTGTATTGAAGGAACGAGTTCAAGAGATTGCAGACGCAAAGGGCCTGAAGATTCGTTATTGTAACTTGAAGGAGTGCGAGGAACAACACCTGAATGCAGTCGAAAGCCCGTGTGGACGTCTGCGAGAGGCGATAAATTGGCCCGTGGGTGTTCCATTTGTTCATCCTCACGACCTCCCTAATAGAGCAAAACAGGCTTTCTTGGAAGCATATGAACCTGGGTGGTCAGCCAACCAGGATGGTGAGCTAGGAATGGAAGACGCAGTCCAAGACCAGCATGGTCAGATGCTTTCTTGTAAGACTCTCAACTAATGTACAGTAGCAGTTTTTGTTCTTGCTACAGTTCAACTGAAAGCAGCATAACCAATCACTGTAATGCTAAATTAATCGATGCACATGTCTTGCCGAAATTATGTCTGGCTTTACTTAGGTGAAACATGATGATGGTGGGTAGTAGATTAGCCATCAGTAGAAAAACAATTGTGAGCTTGAATTGCTGTAATTAATGTGACGTAGTTTTGATGAAGTGACCGGAGCAGCGCATGCTGGAGGTGAGGAGCAGCGGTATCCTGTGAAGGTGGCAGCGATGGAGGACCAACGGTTCGCTGTGAAGACGGTGTTTGATTATTTGCGTGCCAAAGGGAAACCCGTTCCGACAGGAAAGCCCCAGGTAGTTGGACACAAAGTGGACATCAGTAGGTTGGCAAAAGCGGCCTTTGAAGCTGGAGGGCGATCCCAGGTAGCTTATCTCCAGCACATGCAGGGTGTGTCGTAAAGGTCTTTACTTGATGCTAGGTGAGCCACAGGAATGTATTTGCTGGTATATATTTTCATATTCCATTTTCATCCTTGTGAAGTTTATGATAGCGTATGGAGCCATGATAGGAAAATTTATGGAAATGACATAGTACAGAAAATTGGTTCCTTATGTCGATTTCATCGGAAAATGTTGTGTCCATTAGTTCGATGCAGAGGGTGGGTTTCAGCGATTCATTGGGGTACACTTCCAGCTAGAAACTGCGCCTGATCGGGACAAGGAGAGAGCCCTGGAGCGGTTGAAAAAATTGTACGATCAAGTTTTGTTTGATTATGTTGAAGACTTGGTTGCCCCAACACATTGCAACAACCAAATTAGATGATCCAAAATGATAACGGTGGCGATTATCATCTTTTGTCACGATTTTGTCCTTGAAACACATGATTTCACAGTACACCAATTGTCGGGACTGGTATCGGAGGATGTACCTCAAGCTTACCTTGCCGTTGAGAAAACCCTCTTATATATGATCCGAGCAATGTACAGACTTACTTAGGTGAAGCTTATTCCCATGCCATTGATTTTAGTGCGATGTTGGCGCTGCGTCTAGTTAGCAAATTGTTACGAATATCTGTACAGCGAGGCTTTCTGATTAGGCGAAGTCGAAAGGTGATGCTTATCTGCGACAATCTGAAGCTCAAATCTCCAAATTAGCAAACCTACTTTTTCTCTGTTTTCGTTTTTCTTTCTCTATTGATAGTTTTAAAAAGCACTTCTAACGGAAGATACGATGGTTCTTGTGATTATGCTTAGGATCAGACCATTGGTTCAGTTGAATCTGTAAAATGCGTTTATTCCTTGAAATCGGAACATGCTGAGGTGTACCTTATGTTTACGGCTTAATACAGAATCCATGACCCGATCTCTTTGAACAAAAACTCTGTGCTGAGAAACTATTTGCCAAATCTCAAGTAAATCAAAGTGAAGTTCACAACATACCAAATGGAGGTTTATTCCCTTCAAATCGAAGGAACTGCCAGCTGAGCACTTCCAATGAAATTAATGTAATCTATCACTTACCCTACCCCTCCCGACTATCAATCAGAGTTTAACTACACATATTTGAATAAGATGAAAGAGGCTGTAGACAGACGTCCTTTTCTAGTGAGCAACTTACGTAAGGTACAGCAAAGAGCATCATTAAGCTCATTTACAACCTTGAAAATCAGGCACTTATCCCTTTCATGCATTATCGTCAGAAGCTCTCGCCTGACCAACTAGAAAAAAAATAGTCGCAAAAGCTCTTCACGGGTAACAAACTATCTAGGCATGTGCTGTACAATTTCTACATGAAACCTTACACTGCTATCATCCCAGCAGAAAAAAATTTCGTGTTGCAAAAGTAAAAGAGGGTTATACATAGCTCTGGAACAAAGTTACAGTTGCAATGTGCCCATTCTTCATTACCTGTAGAATCAACACAAAATTTTACGTTGGAAATGCAATCCAAAAGCGAGGCACATGATAAATGATCTGGTAACAACCGAAATTTATTTTGAAGCCAATATGGGTCTCCCACGTTGAAAATGAAGGACGAACTACACACCAGTGCAAACTACGCACAGAAGAAAACATGGTGACATCAAGAAGCATCGAAATTGCATAGAAATCCACGAATTCATTACCTCCAATGCGATATTGCGGTAGCCATACACAAATGTTGGACCAAATGGATTGCTGACAGATCCTTGCGTTTGAATTGCAGCACGGCCTCCATCACCGAGTAGCCCCTATTACAGCATCCACCACATATTGAGAACATACGGATGAACAAGTTCACAGCTACAATGCCTTAACAATGCAACAGATCAGTTTCTGCGCTACTTTTATCACATACATCACCATCCAGTAAATGACACACTCAGAACCGAATACGAGTACCTGTACTTCACTCCATTTGGTGTCAGCAGTAATAACCCTTTGAAAACCATCACCGCAAGCAGCTTTATCGATTTCCTCACCATGACCTGTTATTGCCCACAACTCAGAATTGATGGAGTGGCCATATTCTATGACAAAATATAAGCATACCATTACCTACAAAATCGGTATTCAAAGCTTGCATCAAGCATAGCCATTTCAAATTTTTCAGCATCAAGAACCGTCATCACATGCTTGCTGCATAAAACTCGACAGAATAGGAATCCTTACTTTGGGGAACATGAATGTAGAAGTTGCACTTGATGTAACAGTTGAAATCTGTGTGACCTGGAAAGTTAGTGTGGAGTACAAACTTTTTGATTCGATGGGTCTGCCAATCCAACTCACATTGTAAGCTTCAGACACACCTGTATACGTAGCATTGCAGGCTAATTAAATATCATCGCAGATTTTAGATTTTATTTTTGTTTTTGTTTTTCTGTTGTTTGTTTTTTTAAATTAAATCGATTTCTATGAATTTAAAAATAAAGTGGTAACAGACTGCGAACCTGTCCATCAAACAAGATGTCAATGCCTCTTGTGAAATAGTTGTAAAAATAATCACCGCAAAGTGCAGTGCGAGGTCTTGGGTCTGAGGCGGAATGGATCACCATTGGATCAACCTACAATCTCATTGGAAATTATAACCAGTGAAAAATATTGTTGAACATGATCATGATCAGCATGTTTTACATGCTAAAAGTCAATTTAAAACAAGAGGAGTGGAAATAATGGATCAACCTGCTTCTGATGTATGCCGCATGGGCGGCCCAACTCTGCCCAAACGTCCTGCCAAGCACATTCATATTAAGAACTGCGTATGGGAGCAAGTTTTTTGCATATTAAGAATTACAATTGTCAAGCAACATGTGCATTTGTGCCAGTTATAGGTAAGTAAGCAGGTCAGACAACTAACCTGTGGAGATGCACCAAATGGCAGATGCTGACCGCCACCTGTGAACCACAACTCTTCTGCCAACTACACAGTTGAAAGCAACTTCCTTGTTACAAAAAATCGCACTACTGCAATGTGGCAGTCTGATTTCATTTCCGGTCTTAAAACTCCAGTATAAGCACTCAAACCTGACTCAAATCAATTACTTCACATGTCAGACTACTTAAACAAGTGAGATTTACTTTGGATAGAAGATCTGTTCTGGCCCAAAATGATTATTCTCGTAACGTGAGGGTCAAAACATGAGATACACCATCACCGACCAGAATCACCTACCTTGGCATGAACCTCTTCCATGTACAAGCTACCAGGCGGAAGCTGAGGCGGTAAAGCAATTTTAAGGGGAGCACCGACACCAACTCCACCTCCGACTGCGCTATCATAAACGAATACTCGAGACATAACTGGGGTGGTACCATCTGGGAACTCCAACGGCAACTCCGCTGCATATAGCGTGTCCATGTCAGTGGTACACATTAGCAAAATGATGAACAATAGCACAGTTTGTGTGTGTCAAACGCTCACCTTCCCGGTGTTGGCAACATTCTGTATACTGTGCAGGGATCGGGAAAGCAAACGACAAACCCTGCAGGAAGTAAATACTCAAGTTTTAGTCTCTTGATAGTCACAAATTTCCAGAACAAATAAAGTATAAAGAGATAGCCGTTAACCACGGTAGACGTGTACTTACAGGATAAAATAAGGTATAAATGCTTCGCTTCTTGTTGTATACGCCTGGGAAAGTTGGTCCAAAGAGTGCGTAAACCGCTACAAATGTAGCTGAAATATTAGGACCCCTGTATTATCAGGAGCAAAACCAGTAAGGAATCGCTACAGAACTAAAATTGCAGACAGCCAATTGAAGGGAAAAGTCTCGCATTCTCACCCAATGGACGAAGTGGCATAGCGCAGGTGTAAACGTTGCACATCATACACTTCTATCAGCCTCAGCCGCTGTAAAGGCACACAACAAGAATTTCAGATCAACTTGACCCAACTCACAATCAGAAACTTCAACTAGGGCACAATGACAAGTGCGAGAATTTAGGTAATTCAGGTAGGATGAACAGAAAAGTACACTGCGCTTCCCCTCACTAGTAAAAATTGATGCCACTATCAATGGATTTGTAACAGTGTCACTAATCAGGGAAGAATGCATACCTGGGACTGGGATTCGAACCGTAGATGAAAACCGTGCTCGGGAAAGCTGAGGACCAAATCCATTTGCAAAGGTTCCTGCACACGCTCACGCTTCACAATCTCCTTTTGCAGTTCATGTTTCAGCCATAAGAAACGTAAGTTGATCACCTTCCCATTCCCTTTCCGAGAAATGAATCGACCAACATAAAACAAGACGACAGGCGCATAATCATTCCACTGACACCTATTAACCCTACATCTACGCGACAATTCCTGCTGCAACGACTTCCCTAATTCTCTTTGCATTATGCAATCAGATGGTCGACGATGAAAGACATTTGTGTTCAAATTGCGAAAGTGGAAGTAGCATTCAACCACTCGCACAAAATGAATTAAAGCACAGCAAACAGAGACAAACTCATATCTCCAAACACGCAAAACACCCTCGCCCAGGCCAGCACTGGATTCGAATTAGGTGGAAATCCGAAATTCAATTGCCTCACAAACCCTTTTGTCAAGAAAAATCGGCAAACACAGTACAACGTACCTCGTCATCATATTTCACGTGCACAACATCGAACAACGCCCTGTGCTGCTCAACGTAGGTCAAGGCCTCACATACCGGCATCCCTGAACATTTGACCATAACCACTTCAAAATTCACAAAACTTCAAACTCATCTCAATCGAGAAGTCCACCCTCTCGAGTCCCACGACCCAAAGCTCTCACGAATCATCGCACATGACCCAAATCCTCTTCTCACAAATCACCAAAACCCAAATCCTTCTAACTCCTCCGCGGAGAATGTCACCACCCCACATATTCCAATTCTCCCGAAACGCGATGAATCGCTGCAATTAGCGACGAAAGGAAGCACAATTGCTGGCAAGTTACCGAGATTGAAGGCACCCAGGCCCGCCCCTGGTCTGAGGTCGAGCGTGAGCCCTCCCATCGAATTGCACTGCGGGGACGATCGGAACTTTTCCTGTAAAAACAAAGTTGTGGGTTCTGTTCCTCCGATACCCAACAAAAGATCGGCAAAGAATTCTTCGATGAGACAAGCCGTGGAACAATCAAGCGAGCGACCGATTGATTGATAGATTGAGGCTCCGCGACGCTGCAAAAATGGCAATTGAGTCTTCATGGTCAAGAAGTAGAAGAGGAAGAAGGATGCGGGGCAGGGCAGGGCACGGGCATGGGAGACCGAGTGCCGAAGGTGTGCCTGCCCCCCTTCCCCGTTCACACTGCCATGATCACGGTCTCCAGTATCCGCAGAATTGGGGCCTGAATCTGTTGCTTGGGGTCGCTCTTACGGCACGGTGTGTAACCCATGGCCGTGGGGGGTGGGTCTGTACTCTCGGATTCGTGTGGGTCACTTCTGATTTCTCACTATTAGTTGGTCTTGAGTATTAATTGGTTCAAGTTATTTGATAACAATGGTTCAAATTAGTTTAGTTGGCAAAAAATCCATTTTAGAGACTTTATTTTAATTGTCAATCATCAATTTTTTTTTTTTTTTAAATAATATGTATTTTGATCTAAATAATACGTATGTTGATTTAGTTTTTGTCAAGGACATGAATCTTGAAGAAAGAAAATCCTTAATACACTCTTGTGTTACTAAAAAGAACAAGAAAGTCACTCGAAGTTGATATAATTTTGAATTAGAATAGACATTTTTTTAAAAAAAAAAGACTAGAAAGTCTTGAAATAAGACTAAAGACTAGAAAGGCATTGACAAGAGTGAAAAAGACTTCACTCTTGCCTCCATATACACTCTTAAGTAAGAACTACATGGCGATGTCTTATAGGACCTCCAAAATAAGTTGACTTTGTAAGATACGTATTTTAATTTATAAGGCAAGTTCTCTATATGTGTGCCACATAGTTAGCTTCTTCTACAAGCTACCAATACGTTGTTAGCTTTTTAATCAAGTTTCTAACCTATCATTCAATTATACATGTTAAATCAAAGCAACATCTATGAAACTTTTAAAAAGCTTCTCTAGGTGTTATAAAATTAACCTATTTTTATCTACTTTTATCAATTTCTATCTAATCATATAGTTATTTACTATAGTATTTGTGTATATCCATGACATTACTTCCTTTTCTAGAGACAAGAGCGGTCTTCATATATTTAGAAAATCCAAGTTGCGATAAATTATATTTACTACATATTCTGATCTTTGTTTTATTTGAAGATGGTTGATAGGTCCTCTTAGCCATTAATAATGTCCTATACTAAGATAAAAAGACCACCTTGTTATTTGGTCATTGTTAAGGCCTTTGTAACTTCCTTCAAATTAAACATTTGGTACATTGTCAAGAGTTGTTTCTATCTCAAATAAAATCACCAAACATTGGTAGTTTCTTTGAAAGTTGTGATATCAAATATAATGTATCTTTTTATTTATTCAAGAAAGGACAAGTTGTTTTTTAAGATCTTCATCTCAAGTTGGTCATCTTAAAGTTTGTGACAATCGTGATATTTTATTTAGTAAGTGTGTAAATGAAAGCCCTTGAATTAAATCTGCTAGTTGTTGATTCTCTATCTCTTTAGTATCATAAATATAAAAAAGCTATAAAGAAGGATAGAAGGTAGAATGTTATGTTCATTTGATCTTATTTCTTTTAAAGCAAAGATTTATTATTCTTCATCTTGATTTTGATGGATATCATCAATTAAAAGCTTTAAGTCTCTTTCTTTCATTTGCAAGATTTTTTTGTTGACTTCCATGTACATTCACTAATATCATATCTATGCTAATAAACAAGATATTCCAACCTATTTTGGCATTGCTTTGAATCTAATACTTCTTCCACCTTGAACTCTTGATTATTATCTACTTCTATAGGTGGAAGTGGCATTTGTCTTCTTCTTGAGATATTCATTGTTTTATATGTCTCAAAAAAGGACACATGAAATATGGAGTGGATCTTCATAGATTTTGGTAGATATAATCAATAAGCAACAAGTTTGATTTATTTACTAATAGAAAAAGGCCTAAGCCTACAATAGTCCAACTTGTCACAAAGATGAGTAGTTTTGATATTGCAACAAAGTAACCATACCTTGTCACATACGTTGAATTGTTATTGTTCTTTGTGATAAGCATCTATATTAATTTTTTTTCATTCTTGAGTTCTCTTTAATTGTGCCTTTATTGATGCATGTAGCTTTCACAAACAATTTCCTAAATCTTTCACCATAGAATTATCAACTTTTGAAAAGTCAAAAGTATTAAGTCATGGATGATAACCATAGTTGATAAATAAAAGTGTTTATTGAGTGAAAGAATATAGCAATATTATAATATGTGAAATCTTACTTAAAAATGTTCTGGGCACCTAGCTGTGGAAGATAGAATGGAAATTGCAACAACAAAATCCTAACTCTAATAGAATACTAACTAAACTCTAATTAGATCATAACAATGCTAAGCAAGTTTTAATCAAGTTGAAAGAAACCTCAAAGGAATTACAAAGAAACAATAAGAAATCTTAAAGAAATATTAAAATGATCATAAATATATCTCAAATACATCTCAATTCAATCTTAATTTAATCCTAGTTAAAATCCTATTGGACTTCATTAAAACTTTAGGCCAAAAATTAACTAAATCTTAAATCCTAAATAAATTTAAATAAAACCCTAAATCCTAAATCAAATCCTAACCAAATCCTAAATCCTAAATTAAATCCTAACCAACTCTAAACTAAATCTTAAATTATAAACCAAATCCTAATCAAATCCTAATTCTAATCAAATCCTAATTCTAAATCAAATCCTAACTAAATCCTAAATTCTAAACCAAATCCTAATCCTAAATCAAATCCTAATCAATTCTAAATCAAACCTTAAACTCTAAACTAAATCCTAACCAAATCCTAATCCTAAATCAAATCCTAAGTAAATCCTAATCCTAAATCAAATCCTAACTAAATCTTAAATCCTAAATCAAATCCTAATTCTAAATCAAACCCTAACCAAATCCTAAATCTTAAATCAAATCCTAATCCTAAATCAAATACTAACCAAATCCTAACTCTAAATCAAATACTAACCAAATCCTAACTCTAAATCAAATCCTAACCAAATCCTAATTCTAAATCAAATCCTAATAAAATCTTAACTCTAAATCAAACCCTAACCAAATCCTAAACCAAAGCTTAAATCTTAAATCAAATCCTAGTAATTCCTATAATGGATTTACACCTCAATTACTAATGAATGAATTATTGATCTTAACTCAAAATTTGCATACTTTTTAATAATTAAGTTGAAAAAAAGTACAAAAAAAATTGAAAAAGATTAGATATACCAAATAGATGATAGCCTGAAAAACGTGCTTGGTTATTAGATAACCTCCTTCTCCAACCTTAATGCTAATATTCCAAAGCCAACATCTCTTCTTTTCAACATTTGATTGATTTCAAAACTCTCATATACATAGGAAAACAAGTCTAATATCCTCTCATACAAATTTCACTCCAATCCAACTATTAGATTGCAAGAAATCTTAAAAATCCTCACTAGACCTAAAATTCTATTTTCTGAGACCTTGACCCACTTAAATCTCAATAATCCTCAATTCAACCATTAGATTGAGCTAAGATTCACAATAAATATTAAGCACAACTATAACCATTAACCTACAAAATTTTACATATAGATCTGCTATAAAATACTTGAAATTATTAGAAATGTCAATCCTATTTTATTTTACAAAATCCAATTCATCCAAAAATAATCTTGATTTTGTAAAGCTCTTACAAAGTTATAACAAATCCAAGTTGCCCAAAACCAATGCTCATAGAAACCCTATCTAGTTTGTTATCAAATCCTAATCTCTAATCTGCAAAAGAACCCTCGAGTTACCATAGATGCTTGATTTTGTGTCTTAGGGTCTGATTTCGACCTAGGTTGCTAACTAGCCCTCTTTGGGTATCAATATCTAGTTTTTTTAGGCAATTTTTGCTATAATTCACTTTTAACTTCCTTCTAAAGATATTTATATCACTTATTTTTCCAATCTATCTTATTTTGCCTTATTTATGGTCCTATAAAGTAAACAGAAGTTACTTTTGTAAAAAGTAGTAGTACTACTAAAAGTTTTACTACCTTCCTATCTTTTATCCATATTTTTTTATTTTATCTTTTAACTTGGCTCTTCTATAATAAGTTCCATATTATCATCTTTTACCATATACTTGTGTTACAATACGACATCAAATTATTATAAGAAAATTCACCCAATAATAAAAGAGTTGATTAATCATCTTGATGATAGTTGATGGTACACCTTAAGTACTGCTCTAAAACTTGATTCACTTGATTTGTTTGTTTATTACTTTGAGGATCCTTTAAAATCTTAAAAAGAATTTTTAAAAATCTTGATATAAATTAAGTTCTTTTATCTAATATAATATCTTTAGATAATCCATAATAGCAATAGATATTGCTAAAAAAAACTTAGTTGTTTCTTTACATATGATAGATTTTGTACATGGTATAAAATGTGCCATCTTGATAAAACAATCTACTACCATAAATATAGAATCATATAAACTTCAGACTAAAAGATCCTTAATAAAACACAAATGTTGTCAAATTTTGTCTTGTTTTACTCGAGAATGTATTGGGCACCTAATTGTGGAAGGTGAGGTTGTGTTTCACTAGTATCCAACAAACTCTTATAGGTTTTATCCATACAAAAAGAATATAATCTGAATTTCAATTCAAAGGTGCTAAAAACACTCTTCTTAGTAGCCTTAATTATACATAAATCCCAATTACCTTGTTACTTTCATATTTAAGCAATTTAGATTTTTCTTGTAGGTTCCAACTCTAATCAATGAGCTTTAACAAGTTGTAACATCCAATTCGACCATCCACTTGATGTAAAATTTTGTATGTAATTATCAATGTAAGTCTTCTATAAGCTTAAGAATTTTTAGTCCAATCCAACATACAAATTGTGAGAAAACTTCCAAAAATTGTACTGATGTTACTCGGCCGCCAACTTGAAAAGTGAAACAGAAATCCCACTAGTGATTTCTCCCTTTCTAACCGTTAACTTTGACTCAAAATGGTGTGTAGTTTGATCTTCAAGTCCTTCAATACCATACCAAATTTTACCTTGATCCAACTGATAGATCTCTAG